TCACTTTTCACAGTTTCAGTGTCTGAAAATTAAATGGAAAATTCCAGAATTAAACAATTTATAATTAAAAAAAATAAGTTTTAAATGTGTACCGTTCTGAGATAAAATCTCCATGTCTCATCAGGACATGAATCATCCCTTTGTCCAGTGTCTCCACACTGTTTATGCTCCCTGCCCATTAGTCACTTGTGGCTGTCTGGGTTACCATATTGACTGTAGCAGTATCGTCGTACTTGTGTTCAGGTAACCCTCATTTTACTTTAATAATGGCTCCAAAGTGCAAGAGTAATGATGCTGGTAATTTGGCTATGCCAAAGGGAAGCTGTAAAATGCTTCCTTTAAGTGAAAAAGGTATGTGTGTATGTATAAAACACACACAGTATGTGGAGGGTTTGGTACTATTTGCAGTTTCAGACTGGAGGTCTTAGAATGCATCTCCCTCTGATGAGGGGGGACTACTGTACTCTATTATTTATTAAATTGAAAGATAACACCCTGAATTCCCTTGTGAGAAAGTAATCTATTGTAGAATTATAACACTTGTAGATTCTTGGTATAAGGCATGACAGGGATATGAATTGGGGCTCACAAATAACAATACGTCCTTTCTGTGCCTATGGCTCCATCTGTTCCTGTCATTGCCGTCTTCCCGTATGGCCCTGGAGTGGCCTGTCTTGACTTTTCTCCTGCCTGTGTCTTGTCTGGAAGCTTCTACAGTTTGAACAAGCCTCCAGCATCTGACATTTCCCTGTGGAGAAGCAGTTCTTTTTGTAATTTGAGGCCCAGGAAAAATCAGTTTTCACTGTACATCTTGTGATATTGTGATTTATAATAAGAAATATGAATCTGGTCTTCATAAGCCTTCTGGCACAGAGCTCATAAAACCCTTGCAATTTCCTCATTATTGAGAGTGATAAAGGTGTGTGTTTTTTTTTTAAATTTTTTATTGTTTAAAGTATTATATATGAATCCTTTTCCCCCCCATTGACCATTCCCTACTAGTTCTTCCCCCCCCCCTCCCCGCCCTGCACATGCCCTCATCCCCCTCCCATTGACTGTGTCCATGGGTTATGGTTATGCTTATATGCATGCATACAAGTCCTTTGGTTGATATCTCCCCCCTGTTTTCTCCCCCCTACTTCTTCCCTTTCCCCTGAGGTTGGATGGTCTGTTCGATACTTCTGTGTCTCTGGGTCTATTTTAGTTCATCAGTTTATGTTGTTCATTATATTCCATAAATGAGTGAGATCATGTGATATTTATCTTTCTCCGACTGGCTTATTTCGCTTAGCATAATGCTCTCCAGTTCCATCCATGTTGTTGCAAATGGTAAGAGTTCCTTCTTTTTTACAGCAGCGTAGTATTCCATTGTGTAGATGTACGACAGTTTTCTAATAAAAAAAAAAAAAGACCGTACCCTTTTATGTAATGATGTTTACTTTGAATTTATATTAGTTCACACAAACACTCCATCCATGCTTTTGTTCCGGCCCTCCGGTCCAGTTTAAAAACCCATTGTGGCCCTCGAGTCAAAAAGTTTGCCCACCCCTGCCCTATACTCTCTTGTGGAATAAAGGTGTTTTTGTTACGTTAATGAGGTGACTTTTGAAACTCACCTAAGGGTGGGGTCTGGTTGCAGGAGAATCAACCCTGTGATTAGAGGGTTGGAACTTTCAGTCCAGGGATTGTAGAGGGGCTGGAGGTTGAATCAGTTGCTAATGGCCTGTGACTTAATCATCCATGCCTATGAAACAAAGCCTCCATAAAAACCTCAAAGGACAGAGTTGACCAGCAGGATGAGATCTGGGGAGAGAGTGGAGCCCCTGGAGAGGGCATGGAAACTCCCAGCCCCTTCCTACATACACTACCCTATGCGTCTCTTCTGTCTGTCTGTTCCCGAGTTATATCCTTTTATAATAAACGGTAATCCAGCAAGTAGAATGTTTCTCTGAGTTCTGGGAGCCACTCTACTAATTGAACCTGAGGCGGTGGTCTTGGGAACCTCTGCTTTATAGCCATTGGCTAGAAGTACAGGTGACATCCTGGGCTTTCAGCTGGCATTTGAAGGGGAGGGGGCGCGGTTTGGGGGCAATCTTGTAGGACTGGATTCTTAACTTGTGGCATCTGAGTTGAATTGTAGGACAGCAGCTCATGTCCCGAGAATTGCTTGTTGGTGTGGGGATGCCCCCCCTGCCACCTCCCCACCTTGGACTTGGTGGCCAGAACAAAATTCATCTTCATTTTTCTTTTCTTCAACATGAGTCAAATAAGAGGATCCTTTCTGAAATTTGTCTCTTTTATGTGCCTCAGATGTAATAAGTCACACGTCCTGCAGAGACAAATTGTTTTCAGGAAGCATTTCAAGGGGAAGAGACAGAGGCCGCTGTGAAACCTGGGAAATCTGAAGTAATCCAATTGAAAAGAGATCAAATTAATAGGAAACGAAGGAGCATGGCAGCTTTAGAAACAGGAGAAAATCAGAAGATGAAGCAGGATGAAGAAGTAAAAATTAATCTTTTCGTGCCGAGTGCCCAGAGAACCCCTCACTGACAACAAAAGTCTTGTTGCATTTACTTGAGCATCTTCCCTATTATTTTCTGTGATATTTACCTGCTAACGTGGTATTTTGGGGGAAAGAAATATCAACATCCCAGAGTATAACTGCCCCTGCCCTCACTTGTGCCTCAACTTGGCACAAGTTGACGACACATCAAGTTTCATACCCTTTACTTCCAGAGAGCAGGCTGTCATTGAATAGAATTTTTGTCTTTTCAGTTTTTTTTAAAACCAAATTTTATGCTAATAATAACACTAAGAACAGGTACTATGAAGTACTTTACAAATGTTATTTCACTTAATCTTCATAATAAATGAATTCGGTGAATGTGGTAGCTGGCTTTCACGCTCCCTGACTCCCAATTGTCCTCACTTCCTGGTAGTCACATCCTTCTGTGGCCTCTCCCACATGGACTAGGGCTGATCTATGTGACCAACAGATGTTGCCTAAGTGATGGCGTGTGACTTCTGTGGTTACAAAGGACACTGTGGCTTCTCTCACGGTTTCTTGGACTGCTTGCTCTGGAGGTGTAGCTAGTCATTATGCCACGAGGGAACTCGAGCAGCGCCGAGGAGAGGAACCAAGGTCTCCTACCAACAGCCAGGACTAACCTGCAGGTCGAGTGAGCCCTATCAGAGGTGGATTTTCCTGCCCTAATCAAGCCTTAAGGTGGCTTTAACCCTTGCTGCCATCTTTGACTGCAACCTCATAAGAGACCCCAACCCAAATCACCTAGCCCAGACTCTTTCAATGTCTTGAATCATAGAAACTGTAAGAAATGAGAAAATTTATTTATTTATTAAAAAAATTATATTTTTTTAACTACAAAGTTTTGGGGCAATTTGTTACTCCATTATAGGAGGAGGAAACTTAAGCTTGGGAAGAGTAAACCTCATGTTACAACTTTGGAATAGATTGAAAATATAATATTTAAATTCTAATCTTCTCCTTGTGTCCTCAACTTCATTTTAATCTTAGCTCTATAACCAAACACAGGAAATGTTGATTGTCAGTCCTTTTGCTGAAGTTCTCCAATCACCTTTTGGTTGGATGAAGCCTACTTTCTAGTAGATTCCTCAAGAAGGGAACAACTTCACATGAGTTTTTGCATGTTCAAAATTCCTTTTCTGTCGTCTTAATAATTGAAGAAGAGCTCTGATGCATATAAAATTCTTGGCTTACATATGTTAAAGTTTTGGGAAAATGTTGCTCCTCTGTTTTGCCATGTCGCAGGTTGCTTTCTCAAAGTTCAATGACATCTCATTCTCTTGTCCTTGTAAGTTATTTTACTTTTTTTTTTTTTTTTGCATGGAGTCTATCAGAAGTTTAAAAAATTCTTTAAAGTCTGATAGTTTTGCTAAGATATGACTCCGAGTTTATCATTCTGGGTCATTTTTCTTGGTTACCTAATGGTCCCTTATGATCTTGGATTATAGTTTTAAATATTAGTTCCATTTCAGTACTTTATTTTTCTTCTTCATGGGCTCCAGCATGTTAGACCTTCTTTGACTGCCTTCTATTTCAATCATTTGTTCTTTATAATCTTTTTTCCTTTTTTAAAATTTTATATTTATTTTCTTGGGTGTTTTACTGCTTTACTTCAATGTACCTTATTACTTTTCATTCAAATCTGTTTTCCTGTATGCACCTTTTCCCCTTCCATTTTGGTCTGGTAATGCCTTACTGTCTTGTGAACTCTTTAATGATTTTAAGGTTTTTTATTTGATGTTGTATCAAGCATTTTTAGTTAGGATTTTTGTTTGTTTATGTTTTGGTTAAGGGATGAATAACTTAGATTGCTATTACTGAAAACAGAAATCCCTACTTAGTCATAAATGGCCCCCAAACTTGCAAGTGTCCTGCCAGAAGTATAAAGAAGGATATGCGAAGGAGAGATGTCATATTTCTTTGATTTGTAGGTATTGGGTGGCTGTTTAATGCCTTATTTATGACTAAGCATTGCAACTTTTCTGGAAACTTCCCATTTCCCATCTCATCTCATGCTGCCTTTTTTGAGTCTCTGCCCAGCTGTGAAGACCTACACCCTTATGTTTTTTCTGTTTGAAAGATATCATGAGAGACAATTGTCAAATTGATAAAATAGCAGTTGATGAAGTATATTTATTGACTAGTGTTTACTTATCTAGGAAAGATAGAAGTGCCAAAATGTAAGAACTGTTTGTATTTTCATGTCTTCTGTTTTGTCCAGAATCCCTTGGTTTTTCTAAAAGGGATTGTAAGCTTTGAGATAAGGCTAAGTTTAGACTGGTTACATGGAATAGACTCCTTTGGTTAAGGTATTTGTTCCAAGAATTTGATATAATTTTGAAGATCAGTATTTTTAAACCTTCCTGTATTTGAAAAAGTTTAAAAATAAAAAAATAATGACCTGTATTCAGGAATTAACTGTATTTGTTCTCAAATTTTTTTTTTTCACTCTTAGGTGAGCAAAGGAAATAACAAAAAATGACAAGTAGAAGACTTGAGGAGTCCATGGGGGCTGTTCAGATGGGATTAGTCAGAATGCTCAAAGGATTCCAAAGCAAGGTTTTGCCACCCCTGAGTCCAAGGGTGGTTAAAGAAGAAGATGTCAACCAAATGGTAATGTATCAGAGAATCTCAGTGTAAAATTCCTAATGTAGTCACCGCAGGAGGATGACAGCTGCTAATTGGCATTATGAGAATACGAGAGAGAATCGTTGCAGAGCAGAGGCACCTTTTAGAGGCTCAGAAGTGTTTGAAATTGCATGCATTGAAAGAGAGGCTTGAAATGCTTAAGTCAAGCAGTTGAAATAAGACTATGAAAGCAAATTATTAGGTTTTCCAAATATTTAGTTGAGCCCTATGAAGCTGTCATTTGTGTAGTTAAAAAGCAAGCAAATATCAGAATTTTACAGGTTTTAACCTGAACACTCTATTAACCTGTTAATTCGGCAAGAGTTATTTTCGCTTGTATATTTGTAGAACATAGAATATTAAAATAATGACTGTATTTTAGGAAAAATGTATGATTTTTCTTTCCTTTAAAATGAAAATATTTATATATTTTATTTTGAAACTAGAGGCCTGGTGCATGAAATTCATGCACTCAAGGGGTGGAGGGTCCCCCCTCAGCCTGGCCTGCGCCCTCTCGTAGTCCGGGAGCTCATGGGGAGTGGGCCTAAGCAGTCAGTCAGACATCCTTAGCGCTGCCACGGAGGCAGGAGAAGCTCTCACCACTGCCACTGCACTCGCCAGCCATGAGCCCGGCTTCTGGCTGAACAGTGCTCCCCCTGTGGGAGTGCACTGACCACTAGGGGGCAGCTCCTGTGTTGAGCGTCTGCCCCCTGGTGGTCAGTGCACATCATAGTGACCGGTTGTTCCGCTGTTCGGTTGATTTGCATATTAGCCTTTTATTATTTAGGATAACAGTTGACATTCAATATTAAAAATATTTATATTGTTAATGAATTATAATGATTTGGTGAGAATTGAATTATAAATTACATGCTATAGGAAATTTCAATAACAACTTACAATGTTAGATATAGTATGCATGACATTTTAAAAACGAGTCTCAAGTTACATTTTAATTAGAAAAATATATTATTCTCTTTTGTGGTGCTTATGGTTTCATATTTAAGGTAACTCCTGACTTTTTTGCTTATAAGACTATATTATTATTATTATTTAATCCTCATCTGAGAAGGATATTTTTCCATTGATTTCCAGAGAGAGTGAAAAAGAGAGAGGAGGGGGGAGAGAGAGAAACATTGATGTGAGAGAGACACATTAATTGATTGGTTGCCTCCCGCCTGTGCCAGTACGAGGAACCTGCAACCAAGGTACATGCCCTTGATTGGAAATCGAACCCACAACCCTGCAGTCCACTGGCCAACAATCTAACCACTGAACAACCCGGCCAGGGCTCAACTTTGTTATTTTTATTTAAATCACAGCACAGCTGATACCTCTTAACATTTTAGTATTCTAATATGGGTTCCAATAAAAAAAAAACCCTTAAAAAACCAAGTTAGAAGCTATATTAGAAATAATACCTTCATTTAAATGGATTAAATCACAGAAAATAATTTCATAGGGAATTTGAAAAGCATTGATTTTTAACCCAAGGCAAAACAAATCAGCTAAATTATATTACTGTGATTGTATTTCAAAGTCTTGGCATATACTGAAGCATTACGTGGCTGCCAATGACTGTGATCTCCTTGCAGCTAATGTGGGCCCTGGGTGATGGAAATGCTCTGCATCTTGGCCGTATCAGGGTCAATATCCTGGTTGAGATACTGTACTGTAGTTTTGCAAGACACTAACTTTGGGGGAAACTGGGCAAATGGTACCTGGTTCCTCTTGGTATTATTTCTTACAACTAAACTGCATGCAAATCTTAAAATTACAAATTTAATTTAAAAAACACTTTCCTATAATTCAATCAATCAACCAATCAATCAGTAAAATAAAGTAGGTTCTGGAAATAACGTAAACATCCCAGCACAACAACAGCTGCGTAATAGTGACTGTTCCTGGATAACTAAGCCCTTGTTCTGTTATTTAAATGACAAACGGTAGGTTACGTTTTCTTCCCCTCCTAACTTTAGAAAGTGTCCAAAGCATTTTGTGTTCTCATTTGGGTATGTGAATAGGACTGGCTGCCAGAGCTGATGATTGGCTTAGATCTCTTTTAAACCAAGGTCTAAATGCACTTGTGTGATTTCTAAAAAGTTCAAACTTGTTTCTAAGCAGTGTAACCGCACTTCCCGAATCCTGTCCATTTTGTATGGTTACTCTTTAACCTTAATTAACCTGATAGTTGACGTTGTAATTTCAGTTGAGAAATAGATGTGTTTCAAACTTACCTCTGAAGCCTGAAAGTGATTTTAGAAAGTTAGGGCTTTATGTTCAGATGCCTCTTCCCAGCATAAATGTTAAGCTCTTTGGACATGTTCCTGTGCAATATCTTGACTCCCTCTCCCTCCCCCCACTCCCCAAGTTCCTTTGTATGACTCCTTCAAGCTCATAAGGAAACAGTAACTACCTGTCATTTCAAATTACTTGCAAAGAGCTCAAAAGGACATGGCTACTTCTCTTGTATTATTTAGTTACTTTAAATATTTTATAAGGGAACTTAGTGGCATTCCAGAATTATCCTGAAAGCTGAAAACACAAATTATTCATTACTGGAACTTATGAAAACACTTTTTCAGGTTAGCCATTTATGAATCTTTGGCTCCTGTTGTTTTAAATTCTAGCTAACACCGTCGGAGTTCCTGAAGGAAATGTCCCTGACCACAGAACAGAGACTGGCAAATACACGGTTGATGTGCCGACCACAGATCATCGAACTTTTAGATATGGGGGAAGCAACACATCAAAAGGTAGCTACTTTCTGTTTTACTAGCATTTGTCTTACTAGCATGGAAAGTAGGCACTGGTATAATGTGAACATCCCCCCCCCCCCCCATTGCTTTTTTAAAGAGAGGGGAAGGGAGGGAGAGAGGAGGGGAGGGAGGGAAGGAAGGAGGAACAGAGAGAGAAAGAGAGATGTGAAATAGATACATTGATTGGTTGCCTCCCCCACATGCCCTGACCAGAGCTGGGGATCAAACCTGTAACCCAGGTATGTGCCCTTGACCGAGAATTGAACCTCTGACCCTCCAGTGCACAGGAGATGCTCTAACCATAGAGCAACACTGGCCAGGGCATAATGTGAACATTCTTGAACATAATGTGAACAGTCACTAAGTAATAGTTATTTTTTTCTGGGCCAATCTGTTATTAGTTTGCTTAACACATTCTTTTTCTTCCTCTGTTGATCTTGATACGGAGATTTGATATGGAGAGAATTATAGTCAATTAGTACAAATAACTTTTGACTACTCACATTTCTTTCTTAGCTACTTCTGGACACTGTTGTTCGCAGATTAGGAGTAATTCCAAGAATTATATTAGCCAAGCCTAATTAAGTTATGTTCTTAGCACAAGAAATCCCTCCTTACCTGAGCTGTCATCACTAGAAGAAATGAAAGTGAAATTATTAAAGTAGGCATTTGTTGTATATTCTGGCTCATCCTATATAATAAAAGGGTAATATGCAAATTGACCCTAAAGGTGGAATGACTGGGAATGACCCGTCTCTGTGATGCCACTGACCACCAGAGGGCAGAAGCTCAACGCAGGAGCTGTCCCCTGGTGGTCAGTTTGCTCCCATAGTGGGAGCTCTGCTCAGCCACAAGCCAGGCTGACAGCTGCAAGCACATCCTAGGCAGCGCTAAAGATCCCGCCTCCTAGGCAGCGCTAAAGATGTCCAACTGCCACTTAAGCCTGCTCTCTGGCCTAAGCCAGCAGGTGGACATCCCCCTAGGGTTCCTGGATTGTGAGAGGGTGTGGGCCCGGCTGAGGGACCCTCCCCACCCCAGTGCATGAATTTTCATGCACCGAGAATAGTTATTCTAACATGTTTTTATATTTTAATATAAACCATATATTCTAGGTTTTAGGAGCATATCATTATAAAATGAAGTCTTTGTTTCTTACTTTTTAATTAACTTCTTGAATTATATGCTTCACTTTTTATGTAGAAATGATGGTACGAACTTCCATCAGTTGAACTGCTGGAGATCAACCTCCTCTCAGAGGGTTCCTCACTCTCCCAGAGAGTTTTTCAGGCTTATTTTCTGCATGATGAATGAGTCCCTGAGGCTCTTTTGCTCTGCTCTTGCTAAAATACCACTGCCTCCCCTGTCAGTGGTATTTTTATGTAGATCCCGGTCAAGGATCTACATAAAAATTTCCTCTTCCTCTGAGCCCTGCTAGCTTTAATTATTATTTATTCTCTTCCCCATAACCACACTCTAACTTTGAGGGCAGGGAACATGGCTTTTCCCAAAGCTAATTTATCCTAATTAAGGGCTATTTGCTCCTTTCCCATAGCATAACTAGGACCAGACTGTGTGTGTTTTTCTATATATACTTCTTTTGTGTGTGTTTTCATGTATTTTGACTCCTGCTATGAAGAATGAGGAAAGAAGTATAGTACATCTCATCTTCTCTTTCTTTTCTTAACCCTGCTGGTTATTTTTACTTTATTTTCAGGAGTTTCATTTTTCTCTTAGTTGGATGACAGTCATCCTCTACTAACTTCTTCAAGAAGAGCTTATGGAAGTGATTTCCCTGGTTTTATATGTTTGATAATATTTGCCTGTGGCCTTTCTACTGAATTGCAGTTTTGTTAGGTATAAAATTCTTGGGTCACATATTTTTTCCATAAGAGCTTTGCAGGCATTTTCCTCACAACATTTTGGCTTTAAATAATGACATATAAAGGTATGAAGCCAGCTTGATTTTCCCCAAGATAAAAGAAGGATATTTTAATCTTTTAGGTTGTATGCCCAAAGATTGTTTATTTTTATTTAATGTCCAATAATTTTATTAGTTGTACCTTTGTATTATTTCTAGAAAGTTTTCTTGTTCATGCCATTTTGGGTTCCTTTCCTTAGGAATATCAATTATGAACATGTTGGACCTTCTTTGTCTGCCCTTCTACATCTTCTATGTCTCCTCTAATCCATTTTTAACTTTCTGTTCATTTTCATTTCATTGTAGTTACATATACCAGGTTATCTTCTGTGTCCCTTACTTTGAGTTTTATGTATGTGTATTTCTAATAAAACTCATTCTTTCTATTTTATTTATTTATTTTTAATTCTTTATTCTTAAAAGTATTATATATGTCCCCCCTCCCTTTCCCCCTTTGACCCTCTCTAGCCCACCCCTCCCCCCTCCCCAGGTCTTCAGCACCTATTGTTTGTGTCCATGGACTATGCATATATGCATACAACTTCTTTGGTCACCTCCTGCACTGGCCTCTACCAGGGCTGGGGAACCTGCAACTGAGGTATCCTTTGCTTTTCCAGATAAATTTTATAATCACCTTTTTAATTTCAAAAAAAATTTACTGGGAATTTTTTATTGGATTGCATGGATTTTTATATCAATCTGGGGAGTAGTTGACATTCTTAAAGTATTGAGTCTTTCAATTCATAAACATGATATATATTCTTGTATTCTTGTAGGTCTTTAAAAAGTCTTCTTAGTGATATTTTAGTTTGTTTGGATAAAGGTCTTGTATATATTTCATTGGACTTATTCCTATGTATTTTATGTTTTGGGATGCTACTTTAAATGGTATTGTTTATAAATTTAATTTCTTAAATGTTCCTAGATAGTACATAGAAGTATAATTATTTTTTGTATGTTGATCTTATACTTAGTGACCTTGATAAATCATGGATTAATTCCAGTATTTTATCTAGTTGGTTATTTTGAATTTTCTAAATAAACAATTTTTTCTTCTGGGGAAAATGACAATTTTGTTTCTTTTTGATTAGTTTTGAATGTTGAATTTCTGAGATAAACCCAACGTAGTCATGATGTATTATTCCTTTTAGATATTGTGGGTTTTAGTTTGCTAATGTTTTGTTTCTTTTTTTGAATCTATGGTTCATGAGTAACATTGACCTATCATTTTTCCCTTTTCCTACTGTCTTTCTTAGGTTTATGACAGTTGTGTTAACATCATCAATTGAGTTGGAAGATAGTTAATTTTTGTTTTTCTTTCCTTTGGTAGAAATTTTATAATATTTGAGTCACATCTTCTTTAAATGTTTGCTAGAATTTGCTTGTAAAGTTATTAGGGCCAGAATATTCTTTATGAAAGGTTTTACTTACAAATTCACTATCTCTAATAGGCATAGAACTATTTTAACTTTCTATTTCGTCTTGTGCTAATTTTGATAAATTGTATTTTTCTAGGAATTTTTACTTTTTATCTAACTTTTCACATTTATTGACATAATATCCATTTATTATCTTCCTTCGTTTAGGTTCTGTAGTAACGTCCCTATTTTCATTATTTAATGAGCTCTTTGTACCTTCTGTCTTATTTTTTAAATCAGATTCACTAAGTATTTTATTAATTTTATTAGTCTTTTTAAAGACAACTTTTGGCTTTGTTGTTATATAGTATAGTTACTTTCCATTTCATTAATTTCTGCTATTGTTTTTGTTATCTCGTTTTTTATTTGTTTGGGTTTTTATTTTTTAACTAGAGGCCCGATGCATGAAATTTGTGCAAGGGGCTTGGCCCTCCTAGCCCCGGCTGCCTCGGCCCTCGCAGCCCTGGCTTTGTCTGGAAGGTCCTCTGGACAGTCGTTCCGCTGTTCAGCCTTTTGGTCAATTTGCATATTTTGCTTTTATTATTGTAGATGTTTGCTATTGATTTTCTAAATTACTGAGGTGGATGCTTACATTTTTGGTTTTCAAAATGTGTTTCAAGATGCCTCAGGGTACAGCCATAAAATTTCAGGGCATCATGGAATATTCTGGATTTTTAAGGAAATATGGCAGTACTCAAAACTTGTTGGATAGTATACAGGCTATTAGTTTGAGGTAATTCATAGTTCAAATATTAGATTATACCATCTTTTTAGCTCTTTAGTGCCTCCAAGGAGGTATTTGCTGACATAACATTTTTTTGTTATTCTCATAGTAGAATTGGTACAAATTACCTTATTCATCATTACCAGAAATGGAAGTTTTGGATTAGTGTTCTAATTAGTCTCTATTATCTATAATAATAAAAGCATAATATGCTAATTAGACTGGATGTCCTTCCTGATGAAGCCAGGGCTGCGAGGGAAGCCCGAGTCCCGGGTGCCGGAGGGAAGCTGGTGCCGGCAGCTGGGGGAAGGAAGGCCTACTCTTGCATGAATTTCATGCATTGGGCCTCTAGTTTATTTATAAATGATCTTTAATTGAAGTATTTTCCTCTGTAGTTCTTAACTATCCAGACAGCGTTGTACTGCCTCACTGTTGATGTCATCTATGATGTCATGTGAGTGGCAGCCATCAACATTGCAGCCCACAGTCTGGGCAGTCCTCAGGATCTCTTGAATGGTTCCAGAGAATTCTCTGGCTAAAGATCAGTGCTGCATCTGTCTTGCAATGTTGACAATCTCATCAATGTCCACTGTACATAATGTTTTTTGCTTCTTTCTACCTCTTGGAGGTTCTTTGAGGCCTTTGATGATCAGGGCAGAGGCAGAAGGTACCACCTCCACCTGGGCCTCTCTGTTCTGAATGGTCCGTTTCATTGTAATCCTCAGACCCTTCCAATCACCTTCTGCTTTGGCGATTTCATTAGCAAATATTTTCTGGAGGCAGGCCCAGGGGGCCTCTCTTGGGAACCAGGGCAGACATGGCACTGACCTCCCCACTGGTGCAACTCAAGTATATGACTTTGACCTCGTTGGGGTTGCATTTTGGCAGCATGTTGGAGGCGACTGGTGTCCGATGAACCTGGATTTTGGACCAAAGAAAGTTGTACCTAAGCCTCCTCTGAGCTGAAAGCAGAAAGCTAGCCCCTATTTTTTTAAATGAGGACCAAAACTTCTTTTTTTGTATTAAAGAAGTTGATGAAATAACCTTAACAATTATACCAATTATTGTTCATAGTAATCACCCCTTTTTGAGTGTTCCTTTTGTTGTTAGTATTAATATTCATAGACCTATATAGTCTTTTCTTATTTTCCCTAATCATTTTTGCATTGTGTGATTCTATGATTAATTTACTTTTTCAACTAAAGTTTTCAGATATTGACCTGGACCAGGCATTATTCCAGCCCTTTCCATCAGAAATTATATTTCAGAACTACACTCCCTGCGAAGTCTATGAAGTTCCATTGGTTTTGAGGAACAATGATAAAGTGAGTATGTTTGATGCGATGGCTATATCTTTCATGGATACATAAGAAGGAGCAAATTACATTGGGATCATGTAGGATCTTAGATAAATTCTTAAAGACCTAGGAAAATAGATGAAAACATACCCATTGACTGTAGGCTTAATGAAGACAAGACTCTTTTGGTTGGTTTGTTGCTATATGTATGTTCAATCCCTGGGCAGTGCCCAACAAATAGAAAGCTCCCGACGTGCACTAACGTTTTCTTGAATAAAGGATTGGCTAGATGAATGTCATGAAGTTCTCGTGTGACCAGTGGGCTAGGCTTTCATTTAAGACAGGGTGATTACTATTCATGCTTACATACCTTGCTTTAGAGCCTCCCTAATTGAAGGTGTAAACTCATCTGAATTGCGGTTATTCAGCCAATGCTTTTATATTCTACAAATTGTATTTTTTTAAATTAAAAAAATGGATATCTCTTTCCCCCTTTTCTTTCTCCCTCTTTTTACCTCAGAAGACTTTAGATTTTTTGTTTACAGATAGCTTTGGGCAGCTTCTCTCACTGTTTATACCTTGTCACTTTGTGGTTGCAACTGAGGATTTCTTCTCCATCCTATGCCTTTTTCTTCAGAGATAATTAGGGTTTATTTTTTAAAAAGATACTAAATGCCTGAAGATTTCCTTGACATATAATGATTATGGAAAAAAAAAAGAATTAGGCTGGAGGTCAGCATAAGGCACAGGTAGGTATGAAAAGTAATCAGATAGGGAGGAAAGGTCTCTGAGAGATGCTAAAGTTTAGGTGTAAAGACAATTAAAAAATACGTATAGAATCTAAGAATGTGGAGGCAAATTCTCACTAACCAAGGGAATTCTCCTGACCGAGGGAAGATAAGTAAAGACTATGCAAGAATCCAAGGCAATGGGAAGACTTGCAGGTATATTTGGCACAGTAGCTCATTAAATGAATCAGTGATGCTTCAAAGATCAGTGGGATGATTTAGTGACAGCAAAGCCAGGCCCTGGAAAAAAAGGGCATATTTTGTTTTTTGCTGCAGGAGTGTTAGCAAGAGAAGCTCAAGGGATAGAAGCTGAAGTGTAGGCACAGAGAAGAAAAAGAACCCAGGTGTTCAGGATTATGTTCCTAGACCTTAAGAAGAGATATATTGCATAGACTTTAGGACTCTCTCTTTTCAGATAGGGCTGCCAAATAATTTAGTTTCTCACTTCCAGTTCTCTTTTTCCCTTTCTACATTACTTTTTCTTTACTTTTGCCTGAGTTTTCTTAGGCTTTGAAAGCCAGAGAGGAGATAGTCTAAGTCTTCATTAGGTTGAGGGGTAGTTGGGGCCACTCTTCCCTGGCCCTAAACAAGAAAGGCATGCCAGTTGGTTTATATGGACAAGTCAATGATAAGGGGCATGTGTAAGTTTTACTGCCAAAGGTCACTCGATTCTCATGGATAACCCGAGAGCTCTTGGTAAGATGCTGCTAGAGGGTTGGACCCCATGAAAGGATGGTTCTCATCTAGGGAAATTCAGCCAGCAACAAGCAGGCAGATTTCTCTGTGCCAGGCAGGCTTGTTTCTGGGCAAGTTACTCCCAGGGCCCTTTCTTACACTAGATGCCTGATATAAGCCTACTTCTCTACTTCCTAGGTTCATGGACACTTAAGGAACCACGGAGATCTATTTGGGCACCGTGCCACTCACCTTTTATTGGCTTCCTCACTGGCACGGAATGCAAAGACATAGCCTGTTTGGTCATTATTTGTCTCTCTCTCTCTCAAACACACAAGTTGAAAGTAAGCCATGAACACTCCACAAGCCACAACATGATTCTACTTTGGATACAATAATAATCAGCCAGACTCCAGAGGCAGACAGATCTGGGTTCAGATTCCAGTTGTCTCCCAGCTGCAGACCTTGGGCAAGTCATGGGCCATGGGGATAATTATAATACCCATCTCAAAAGGTTGTTCGGAATAGTGAATGAGATACCGAGTGTATGCAGTTCAGTGCTTGTCACGTCGTAAGCACTATGCCATTATTACTTTTATTATTATTATATTAGTGTTACTGTTGTTTTCCTTCCTAATTTTTAGTTCACAGTTATGCTGTTATTGAAGTATTCCCAGCAAGCTTACACAGTATCACTTAACACATCATAAATGTCAGGGCACATTTCCCTTATCTCTGTGAGTTTGCACACATCTCTTCCTTATCTCTTCACCCTCTGAATTCTCTTTGCATTTCTTCTCCCCTTTCCCATCTGGTGACAGCTTTGAGAGGTGGTGGGAGGTCTTTTTCCCTCCCGTTTCACCTGAGGCATCTGAGTCAGACTTGACTATAGTTAACTTTCCTTCTGCCCACTTCAGTCTTTAAAAAAAACAATCCTGTCTCCCTTTCCTAGTGTCCCTAGAACCTCCACCCCTGACCACCCTCATTCTCCTCATGACTGCATTTCCTTTATTGCTTGGGCTAACTGAGATAGAGCTACTACTCTAGGCAAGGCAAGCAAGGCAGAGAAATAAGACTTTAAAAGAATAAAACTGTTTGAAGCTGTTGGGAGACTGGCCTTGGGAACATTATACTGTTTTCTTTGTTCTTGCTTCCCCATGGTGTTTACTTAGGACAATCTCATAGAGAGGAAGGCGGAGTTAGGCTGGGACTTGACTTGAACACCCTTGCTCGGTGAAGCTGTGGCAATAGGGCAAGTGCCTGGTTCTTCATCTGTAGAAAGGGGGTCATAGTGTAGCTCAAAGTTGATTGGGAGGGTTAAGCGACACCTCATGTGCAGTGATGGTCCATAGCAGGAGTGCAGCAAGTGTGGTTTCTTCTCCCAGAGCAATTCTCAGATGTTGGGAAATCCAGCTCAACTCGGCTGTGTGAGTGCGGTCTTGGCAGTTGGTCTCTGAAGATAGTCACATTTAAATAATAAAATGAACAAAGACTTAAAATAACAATAAAATGAGTAATAATAATGTTCATGAAATTTAAAGTTAAAATGCATTGAGTGCTTACTTTGTGTAAGACACTGGGATAGAGGTAGGGCCTGTCATCTCCTATTACAGTTGATGAAACTGAAGTTTAGACCTGACCAAGGTCGCCTGGCTAGCGGGTGGTAGATGGAGATTTCATGTTTACCTACGAGGCCTGCACTTTCCCTTCTGCACTTTCACACGCACAGTCATCGCTCTATGTTTTTCTTGCAGATCCCAAGGATGGTAAAAGTTATTGAGGAAAGCTCACCGTACTTCAAAGTAATCAGCCCCAAAGACATTGGCCACAAAGTAGCTCCAGGAGTGCCATCCATATTCCGAATCCTCTTCACTCCAGAGGAGAACAAGGTAACGGCAGTGCTGGCAAGAAATTGGTTGCATGCTTTCACTAGCAGTTTGCAATTGAGGCATTAAGGAAGTGGTGGTTGGTTTTGGTGTTGGTGTTGGTATTGGTATTGTTAGTAGGGGTATTAGCTGTATTGGTTGTGGTGTTGGTGGTAGTGATATTGGTTTGATGATGGTAGTTGTGTTGTTGATGGTTTTGGTGGTGGTGGTAGTAGCTGGTGGCAGGTGGTGGTGGTGGTGGTGGTGGTGGTGGTAGTGATATTGCTGTTTGTGGTATTGGTGGTGGTGGTGTTGATGGTGTTACTGTTGTTGGTGGTGGTGTTGAGAGGAGTGATAAGACTGGGTGAGAGGAGGGGATGGCATTCCACTGGGAATGAGGATACAATTGTCAAGGAGTGTTGAGGGCTTATATGAGCTGTAAGTAGCCAGGATGTAAAGAAGGGTAAACCTTCTAACCCTCCTCTCCTTCTCCCCCAGCACCTACCTCAGCATATTTATATTTGACTGTACAGTTAGAGGGATACCAAAAAGGAAAAGGTGTGGTCCAGATGCGGTGAGCTAAGGCAAATGGCTTCTTGGAAGTTTGGGATCCTAGCTATTACATTCCTCTGCCCCAGATTCTAACTAGTTTAGGAAAGAGACCTAAGATCCAAATATTGATCACAGTATCAGTCTAATTAATGGTAAAAAATGTGGCCAGACCTGAGGCCTAGAAGGGGCTTCCTCCTGTTTGCCTGGAAAGGGATTGGTAGATAATTGGGCCCTGGTGAAGGGCTGACCTCACTGATAGCTCCGTCCAAGGAGGAGTGGAGAAGCTATAGCTTAGAGCATGTGTACACAGGCAGGATGGAAAGAGCCTGAATTCAAAAAGAGGCCATTTCCCCTGAGCACCACGGAGCGGTGGGGAATAGAACCCATCCTTAGGCTCTCGCTTGAAGGAATTCCAGTTCCTCCCAGAAGGAAGGACCAGCTAAGGGGGAATGAGAGAGGAGGCTTTCTCCCTAACCCTTCTCCAAGAGCACAAAACTGTGGGTTGAATTTTCCTCTATATGGACCAAAGTGGGGACTTACGGGTTTTACCTGCATGATCAAAGGAGTTAGGACAAAAAATAAGGTTTAAATAGGCATAACAAAATATCAGGTTATATATAACTAGAGGCCCGGTGCACGAAATTCATGCACTTGGGGAGGGGGCGTCCCTCAGCCTGGCCTGTACCCTCTCGCAGTCTGGGAGCTTTCGGGGATGTCCGACTGATGGCCTAAGCCAGTGATGGTGAATGATGGCGAACCTATGACACGCGTGTCAGAGGTGACACGCGAACTCATTTTTTTGGTTGATTTTTCTTTGTTAAATGGCATTTAAATATATAAAATGAATATCAAAAATATAAGTCTTTGTTTTACTATGGTTGCAAATATCAAAAAATTTCTATATGTGACACGGCACCAGAGTTAAGTTAGGGTTTTTCAAAATGCTGACACGCTGAGCTCTAAAGGTTCGCCATCACTGGCCTAAGCTGTCAGTCAGACATCCTTAGTGCTGCCGTGGATGCAGGAGAGGCTCCCGCCACCACTGCTGCACTTGCAGAGCCGTGAACCTGGCTCAGGGCTTCTGGCTGAGTGGTGCTCTCCTTATGGGAGTGCACTGACCACCAGGGGGGCAGCTCCTGCATTGAGCATCTGTCCCCTGGTGGTCAGAGCGCGTCATAGTGACCGGTTGTTTCCGCCGTTCAGTCGATTTGCATATTAGCCTTTTATTAAATAGGATGTTAATAGTGTTCGTGACATGTCATTATGGTTGGAATCAAAAGAGCACAACGGGGTCCGAGAGAACTAGATTTAAATCCTTGCTTCTCCATCACTAATACTTATTAGCTGCTGTCAATGTCATTCCCCATATTCTTGTTTATTGCTATTGTTTCTACTTTTCTGGAGAGCAGGGATGGAGAATTTAAAATGTGATCTGCCAAGTATGTATCACTGTAGCGAGTGGTTCGAAATTCCATTATAATAAATAACACTGCAATTCTTACTTTGCCAATTTGTAATGTCACTATTTCTCGGGCTGTGCTTGTGGACCTGGCATTTTGTTTGGGGTCCTGTTGAAATATATGAAAAGATAAATAGCTCCAGAAGTAATGTCCTTTGTTAAGTGCGATTGAAGTTCTTGTTTTTCCTTGAGGCTCTATATCTGAATAGTAACTGATAAGAGAACAGCACCTGGATTTAGTTTGAGTGTCAAATTCCCACACTGACATTTCTGTAGGAAGCCGAGCATAAGCCGATTATAAGCCTTTGTGCATCTTGCAATAGAAAGCTTGCTGGACCTGAGGAGTTGGCTTTCCTTAATTTTTTTCTGTGCTGGAGAAAATATGTCTTCTGTTGGATAAGCATTGTTCTCCCTGCAGGTAGTCTGCCTGAGAAAAGGACACAAGGAACTTTCTGAGGAGGTGGAATGTTCTAGATCGTGATAGGTGTGTGGGTTGTGTGGATAAACTCATTTGTCAAAATTGCACATTTAATACTTATGCTTTCCAATATATCTAAACTTTACCTTGAAACTATAGACATATAATAATAGTAGAGGGGGAGTTGGATTGAGGTACAGAGAAAGCCAGAGTGGCAGGATATGAGTAATTGTTGAATCTGGTGATGGGTACGTGGGATGTGTTATACTATTCTTTGTATATGTGTTCTTTGTATATGATTTAAGTTTTCCCCAATCAAAGGCTGAAAGAAAAGAGAGTTTTTATTACTGCTTATCTACACAGCAAATACATAATTGAAATGTATGTTAGGCACGTGTGTATTTACCTTATAAATATGGAATGCTAACATTCCGTTGAGGATTACTACTTGGCTGTATTTTGTGGCTGCTTATTTTACTCCCAGGTTTTTTACTCCCTATTACCATTCCATTTCACCAACATTGCGTGTTTGCTGGGAAACCCCTGGATAAATTCTAACTGCTGTTTTACTGTTTCTTCTTCTAAGTATCTGAAAGTTATCAAAGGCTACAAGCGTGTACGCAGAGGCATAAAATGAGAATAATGGCTCCCTAGAGAAATGCAATGATCTCATTTTGCGTACATTAAGATTTTGTTTTGGATATGGGCTCGAAGCTATAATATGATTTACAGAATTTGTTTTTCTAAGGGCATAGTGATTCCTCCTTTTGCTGACTAAGACTGATGGCGTGTGTGTGGAGAAGCTCTTGCTGCTACTTTTGCTTTATTTTTTTTTTGCAAAGATCCTCTTACACTTGCACCATCAGCAGTGTTTCCAGTCCCTGGGCATCCACATTTCCACTCTGACGGTTGGAAAGCCGACAGGGCCATGCACAGGATGGCCAGCTGGGGTTAGTCATGCTGTCTTTAGTGCTGCTCCAGAATGTAGCAGAGGACTAACTGGAGCCAGATTTATTTTAGGAAAAATAAAAGTTCATCTTTTCACTGTGTCATTTTTTCTTCAGTTGGCCAAATTGATAGCCAACGTACATATGTATTTTCCCTCCTTATCCCCTGCTGATCTGAGCACGCTCCATTCTCATTTACCCTCCTCACATCTGGAGGGTGAGATATGTAAATTGCAGCGTGCCATCGCTTAATAGGCCAGTCCCCTTTCAATCAGATTTTCAGCACCCATGTATATTAGCATGTCAGAGATGATAATGCAATTCACATTTTCCCCCTGTCATCTATTTAATCTGGCCTCCTAGGGATTGAACTTGTTAAGAATGCCAAATACCCAGATAACAGGTGCAGCAAATTTACTTCAGCTTTCCTTATCTCTTCTCACACAGACTTTAAAATAATGATTGGATATGTTATTAATCGAATAATCCTAGTGTACATGTCATCCTATCTAATAAAGAGGGAATATGCTAATTGACCCTTATGCCATCGCAAAGATGGCGGCACCCACAGCCAATAAGGAGGGAATATGCTAATTGACTGCCACGCCCTCAAAGATGGCAGCACCCACAACCACAAGATGGCAGTGCCCAGTCTCCTCAGCCCCACTGGGGCGCCTGCCTCTGGAGTCCCCCAGTCCCCTCAGCCCCCCAGCTGCCCAGGGCGGGCCCAAGGTGCAGGCAAACCTTGAATGGCAGCTGCCCAGCCGCCCAGGGCCGGCTGAGGCTTGTGCTGCCGGCAGTGGCAGCAGCAGAGGTGTGATGAGGGCGTTGCCTTCCCCTGATCACCGGGTTGCCTCCTGCACCTGAGAGCTCCTGGACTGTGAGAGGGGGCAGACTGGGCTGAATTTTCATGCACTGGGCCTCTAGTTGAAATATAATAGTCAATGCTGTCATAATACCACAAAATTCTGGAGCCTGGCATTTTTCTTGACTTCTTAAATTTGTATATTTACTATGAAAAGGTGTTTGAAAAATAATAGGCTTTTGCAGTAAAGCAAAAATGGGTACTTTCTTGGGCTTAAGGAAGCATCTGTTTAACCACAGTGTTATCATAGGGAAATGGCTACAGCAAATAAAATGTGAAGTGATGCAATTTTATTGTTGTTATGTTTTAAGAAAACATCTAATTTATTGTCAAAACTGTTTTACTGATTTGTTACTGTGAAACTTAAAAAATGATGGCCCAAGAAAAATAGGAAAATGTTAACATGTTTAGTGTTATCTAAAATGGCAATAATGAAATATATTGCCAGCATTTTGAATTAAAGTTTAGATATCATAAAATTTTCCACAATCAACAATGTTTGTTGGCAAAAAAACGTTAAGGATTTTGTGTTCTTTCTGCCTGGAATTGGCCCTCTCTAGTTCTGTCTGGGTCACCCCTGTAACCCCAGTGCCTAGCACAGTGCCTGACACACAGGATGTGTGCAGTAAATATTCGTCAAGTGAGATAGGTAAGTAAAAGTTCATGTCAAGAAAATATAAATATGTGTTCTCAACTTGAGAATGGCCTACAGATGATAAAAGCAAAAAGCTTATAAAAAAGGGCTCAAATATCTTTTTGTGCCACAAGCATATTAGATGTTAACTTTCTTGTCATTTCAGCCAAGAGAAAGATGTCTGAGAGTCTTATATAAGAGGAGTGCTTCTCTCCATTTTTGTTTCATGTCATCCTTGAGTCATATCACTACTTTTTTAGCTTTCTGGACTTGATCAGTATCATTTTATAATAAGGCTAATATGATGAAGTTGGGAAATCTCTTAATGAAGAACTCTTGATACTTTAATACCCAAATAAAGATATTAAAAATAAGTAATATTGTCCTAGCTGGTTTGGCTCAGTGGATGGAGCATCGGGCTGGGGACTGAAGGGTCCCAGGTTCGATTCCAGTCAAGGGCACATGCCTGGGTTTCAGGTTCAATCCCCAATAGGGGAGTTCAGGAGGCAGCTGATCAATGATTCCCTCTCATCATTGATATTTCTCTCTCTCTCTCTTCCCCCTTCCTCTCTGAAATCAAGAAAAATATATTAAAAAATGAGTAATATTCTTTCACTCACTCTGCACCAGGCCCAGTTCTGTGAGCTGGGATCCTTAGGAGAACAGAACAAACTTGGGCCTTTCTGGAGCTTGTGCTCCACAATGAATAAACAAACATGCATATAATTTAATGTCAGGTATTGACCTGATAGAGAAGAGAGAGTGATGAGAGGGTCCTGTTTCCTTTCAATAGGAGAGTCAGGGAAGACTTGTCTGATGAGGTAACATTTGAGCAGAAAACTAAATCAAGCCATGCACATATCTGAGGGAAGATGTGTGGCTGGGAGAGGGCAGGTACAAAGGCCCTGCCACTGAAACATGCTGGGCAACAGAAGGCATGCGGCTGGAGCAGAGGACGCTGCTGTAAGAGCGTAGGAGACAAACTGCAGAGAGTGAGCGTCTTAGGAATCACGCAATGTAGGACAGGGAGCCATCTGAAAGTGTCCTATATAATAAAAGGCTCATATGCAAATTGTCCCCTCGACCAGGAGTTCAACCAGCAGTTTGACCAGGGCTCGGGGCCAGCTGGCCAACCGCCTGCGGCCCTTCCCCTCAGCCAGCCCAGCCCACGATCGTGCCCCTCCACCCCAATCCAGACCCCCACCCATGCACGAATTCATGCACTGGGCCTCTAGTTAAAATTATTTTTTGTTATGGAAGCTTTCACTCATTTGTACAAGTAGAGAGAACAGTAGGTAGGGTGAACTGTCTTCCCTCAGATTTTCAGGTTATCAGTGCGTGACCAATCTTACTTCATCGATCTGTTCCCTGCCCCAGAAGATTTGAAGCCAGCCCCATACATCATATTATTTCATCTGTAAATACTTCATTGTCTGTTTCTAAAAGATCAGAACCTTTAAAAAGTTAACATGGCCACAATACCATAACCACACCTAAAAACAATAGTTTAGGAGTGGGGAAAAGGCAGAAAGAGGATTGCCAGGGCTTAACCTCACTGGCTGTGCCCAACCTTGAATTCAGCCTTGAGAGGCCATTGCCTGAGCATTTAAAGGACAGAATTATTGCCATGTTTGCTCTCTCTCACGGAGCTAATATAAACTCAAGATTCATTCTTTTCACTTCTCAGAAAGCCACATCTGCCAATTTCATATCCTACTGCTGGTGTTTCAAAGTTAAGAGGAAAGGCATGTTGGAAGGAAGGCTAACAGACAAAAAGTGGATTGGACGTTTCATCTGGAGAGCACACGGGATAAAATTTTAGGATATAAAGTAAATTACGGCTGAGTCTCCTGTAGTAGAGGGGCCAGAGCTCCCTGCTCTGCCGCTAAGCACAGCGGAAGGGAGTTCATCAGCTGAAGTAATTGCTTAGCTCGCAGGCTAACGAAGCCTCCCCTGTCGTAACACCGGAATTAATTTTAGGCCAGCACAGTAATATAAATTGTATATTACATAATCTAATGTAGTCATATTAAATGTAGAACTCTAGAGACTGGAATACATTATCGAGGAGCTGTTGAAAGAATCTCTTCATAATCTTTTATGAGTGCATGAATTGATTATGAAAAAAAATACACAGTGGTGGGCAAAAGTAGGTTTACAGTTTGTATGGCAAAAAGACATGCAGGTTATGATTATTACAATGGCTTTAAACGCAAAAGGATATCACAATGGCACAGTGCACTTAGGTACAATCTATTAAGTGCTCCAGTTGCCGGCCTTCATTATTTACACATTCTTGTAGTCTTTGAATATCAGTGAACTGCCCGGCCAGTGTTGCTCAATGGTTGGGCGTTGACCCATAAACCAAGAGGTCATGGTTAGATTCCTGGTCAGACCACAGGCCTTGTTTGGGGCTTAATTCCAGTAGGGGGCGTGCAGGAGGCAGCTGATTGATGTTTCTCTCTCATTGATGTTTCTATCTCTCTATCCCTCTCCCATCCTCTCTTTCTAAAATCAATAAAAACATATTTTTTTAAAAAAGGAAAATCAGTAAAGAAACCTGAATGTCAGTGACCTGCAGGGTTAGCCCCACTGCCTCCTGAGGTCATTGAATTCAAACATACTTTTTTGCCCACCCCTGTATAATTCCAACCAAACTTCAAGTCTTCCTCATTTGGACATATGAAAAGGGTTGAAAACATCCTTGTGAATATTTCAGTTAGCTTCCTAAACTGTTCCCAGTTTCTTACAGAGCAAGGCAGAGAATATGTAAATATAGAATAAGATAGGACAAATTACTTTGGATTCAGCAGCAGCTTTTGTTCTTTCTCTCAAAGTCTCAGTTAACGTTAAGTCTCCACACCTGCCAGGAGCTTTCCAGTTTCTGATTCCCAACAAAACCTTTGCCTGCTAGGTTTGATCTCCTAAGAAACAATGAAAAACAACACTCACCTCTTTAGGATTCTGATGTAATCAGACAAGGCTGTTTCATTGTTGACTTCAGTGGGGTTTTCTAGGGTCAAATATGCTTAATGTAATTTGTGCTTCCCTATGTCTGGGTAACATAATTTTCAAGCCTGGCATTACCATCTAGAAACCAACTGGGGCCATCAATCTAACACATGTTAGAAGGCTGACTAGGCATGGTTAGAAGGAGGATGTGAGGGAACTGGTGTGAACCTCCTCTGATCTAAACACAAGTGTGCCACCCCCCACCCTCCCTCCCTAACATCTGGGAAACAAGAAACATAAGCTTTCTGTTAGCTTGTAGGCTTTAACACTTGAACTGCTCTCTCTGTTTGAAAAGAGTATCTCAATGAAAGTACAACTATAATTGTCTTGAGACAGTTTCATAGAATATATTAAATTTTTTTGCTAGATGCCTGGCATATGGCCATATTTCTTGCCCAGTTATCTTGATCATGTTGGTGTGTCCACAGATAATGATTGTACCTTCTCCTGTAGGATTACGCCCATATGTTGACCTGTGTGACCGAAAGAGAAAAATTCATCGTACCCATCAAAGCCAGAGGCGCTCGAGCCATCCTGGATTTTCCTGACAAGCTGAATTTTTCCACTTGCCCTGTCAAATACAGGACTCAGAAGATGCTGCTGGTCCGGAACATTGGCAACCGAGACGCTGTGTTCCACATCACAACTTACCGGTATGCATTCCTGCGGCTCTTGATTTTGATCCATGATAGCCACATCCAGTCAGCGTAGGTCATCTGCTAGAATAGCAGTTGGGGTTGGAACTGCTTGTTACAGTCTTGAGTTGCCAGGCTGGGAGGTCTCACGGATGTGGGGCAGACTTCCTCTTCATCCCCAAAGGAATCCAAATTTCAAGGTTACTGTTTGGGTATGGAGGGTTTTCTGAAATGCTGGATGAGAGTCTCTCTACGTAGCATGGAGAATGGTCCGTGGGAATCTATTAATAAACATTTGTTTTATCTAAGAATTTTATAACTGGCTGTACTATTTTTCTACTGCTATTATAACAAATTACCACCAACTTAGAGGCTTAAAACCACACACATTTATTCTCTGACATTTTAGACGGTCAGAAGCCTCACAGGGCTAAATCAAAGGGGCCAGCAGGGCTGTGTTCTTATCTGAAGGCCTGAGGGGAGAATCCATTTCTTTGCCTTTTCCAGTTCCTAGGGGCCACCCCTATTCCTTGGATCATGGTGCTCCGTTTTCTCCTCTGAAAAATGGGAAAAAGTATAGTAGCCACCTAATAGGGTTGTTGTGAGGAATAAATGAATTAATAAATGTTAATTGCTGGTACACAGCAAGTGGAATATAATAAGTGTTTGTTTCTTCTGATTGTTTCTTCAAATGAGCTACGGCTAGTGTAGTGGGCAGAATAATGGTTCCTCAAATATGCCCATATTCTAATCCCAGAACCTGTGAGTGTATAATGTTATATGTCAAAGGGGGTTTAGGGTTGCAGATGTCATTAAGGTTGCTAATCAGCTGACCTTAAAATGGGGAAGTTATCCTGGATTATCTGGACGGGCCAGTGTAATCACAAGGGTCTTTAAAATAGAAGAGGGAGGCAGAAGGAGAGTTCAGAGTGATGAGATGTGTGAGAGAAACTCAACGTGCTCTGCAGGCTTTGAAGATGAGAAAACAGAGCAGTAGAGGTTGTATAACTTGCTCAAGAGCACATAGCTAGTAAGTGGAAGGAGTTAGCGTTTCATCTGATAATTTGAGAAGTAGCTACAGGGTAGTAGACACCATGGGACAATATAAAGGACAATGAGACAATCCTTGCCTGCAAGGAGCTCTCTTATAAGATGGGAAAGAACAATTGTTATGAAACTTCAAAACGGCATCTGATCAGCAAGGCCATGACAAGAGTGACCAGCTTGGGAGGATAGGAAACAGAGGGTCAAGTTCTTTTCTATGACTTAAAAAAGTGTGTATATTGATCTGGACTGTGAGCCCATTTTCTGAAGGGCTTTATCTGTGGAATCCTTTGCTGGTTTAAGGATACAACTCTTCAGAAAGGATTAGCATTTGCTTCTGCCCGGTTCATAAAGGTTAGATTGCATAGACTATTGGTGATTATTTGCTGATTATTTGACTTGGGGGTTCGTGGACTGATAGTGTAAATTCAAACCCCAAACCTGCATAGGACACATGTCCAAAGTTATGAATCCCTAGATACATTTTGTTTCTTTCTCTCAAAACCAAGACAGACATTTTTCCTTGTGCTAATGGAGAATGGTTTGGCAGCCCTTCAAGTTTCCCGGTTCTATTTTTTAAAAAAAATATCTTATTGGTTTTTTACAGAGAGGAAGGGAGAGGGATAGAGAGTTAGAAACATTGATCAGCTGCCTCCTGCACACCCCCTACTGGGGATGTGCCTGCAACCAAGGTACATACCCTTGACCAGAATCGAACCTGGGATCCTTCAGTCCGCAGGCAGGCACTCTATCCACTGAGCCAAACCGGTTAGGGCAAGTTTCCCAGTTCTATACAGGGGTTTTGTTATACGTTCCCTGACTTGACCATCTCAAGGCGGGCTGTTAAAGCCCAGGCTTCCAGCTTGCTGGGAACCCAGGGCAGACCCAGCATGAGCTCAGTGGCCGACGGCTCTAGTTCTCAGTTTCTTCTTCGTTTTTGAACCTTGTGGATTTGCCTGAATTGTTTGCATGCTCAGCCACACATTTATGTAAGTTATATTTTATCCAGTCTTTCTAGGTGTTCCTTGTAGAAGAGTTTTCAACTTGCTCAGTCTGCTGTATTGTAGGTAGCAGGGCTGCCGTAATGCAGGTTGAAGGTGCATCCCCTGGGAAGGGATTTGTGTTTATTCTTCCACGTGTCCCAGGAGCATCGCTGTCTCTGAACCATTTCACGTAGATCTGAGTTTCTGTCTGGTATTGTATGTCTCCTGGCGGATACACTATTTTTTGTAATTCTTTGCAGCATAGATCTACTGGAAATTCTCTCAGTTTTTATCTATTTAATGAAAAGTATTTTGCCTTCATTTTTGATAGGCATTTTCTCTACATTATAGAACTCTGAGTTGACAGTAATAGATACACATATTTTATTTAGTACTTTAGAGATGTCACTTTATGGTCTATTGGCTTATATTTTTCTCATGAGAAGTCCGCTTATAACCCTTATCTTTTTCCTCGATGTCTTTTTCTTGGGCTGCCTTCAAGATTTTTTTCTTATACAGGTGGGCAAAAGTAGGTTTACAGGTGTGATCCAAATACATAGTCCAATGATTTATAAATAACTAATAATGTGAGAATAAACTGTGTTTTGTGTACACACAACTGTAAACCTACTTTTGCCTACCCCTATGTTTGTTTTTTTAGCACTTTGAATATGATGTGTCTAGGTGTGGGTTTTGTGTTTCATTTTTAAGGAATTATTTATTTTGCTTTTGTTTAGTTTTAGTTTCAATCTTGCACGAGGTTCTCTGAGCTTCCTGGATCTTTTTATATTTTTGGAGGATCTCAGCCACCATCTCTTCAAATGTTTCTTCTGCTCCGTCCTCTCTCACTGTTTCTTCTGCTTCTCACAGGCGAAACAGTCTGCAGGCACCCATCTCCCTTGGGGGCTGAAGACTGTCCATTTTTAGATTTCCTGCCACTTGTTTGTCCTGCAACCCCAGTGCTCTGAATGGTTCAAGAAAACTTGGGATTTTGCTGTTTATTGTGGGGTTTTTTTGTTTTTTGTTTTTTTTCATCGTTAGAGTAGGAAAGACCCTCTTTCTAACTTTCTGCATCCTAGGTGGAAGCAGGACCCCGATCTACTTCAGATAGATGCACCGTCAAAGGCAAAGGAAGAGTTCTTGTGACACTCGGTGTCTCCTGACATTGTCCGTAGCACTTATACGGCCTGAGCCTGTCATCTCCGGGCGGGACTCGCCTATTTTGATTGAAGGAGAAGGAAGCAGGTTGTTCAGCTGGCTCATGGTGACTTAGAAAGAACGAGTTTTTAAAAATTTAATAAAAGGCCTCCCACAACCACCACCTGTGGTACACGTTACCACTTCCGTTACATTGGTATTCTTCCATTAGAAAAGAGAAGCCAGCTCAGGTGGGCAAACAAGTGCAGGCAGCACATCCTCCTGGGCTGTTCGGCGGAATCTTCACACCTACGCATACATGACAGTTTCTTTACATATTGCATTTCCATAAAGTGAAACAAAATCACTCCGCAGATCGAATAGTGTGAAGTGCAGGAAAATATCTCAAGCATGTGTATCCGTCACTATGAATGTGAATCATCTTCCCCTAATATAGAAACGCCTCTATGGTAAAATGGTTAGCCACCTTAAGGACTAGCTGGGAATCATAAACACATTAGAAACAATAGTCCAACATTCCCATTTTACAGATGAAGGAAGTAAGGTCTGAGAAGGGAAATAAATGATTTATCTAAACTCCCCCAGTAAGTTAATAGCAAAGCCTGGATTATAACACAACATGGCCCAGTTCTGGGCTTCTGTACCCGCAGATCCATTCCTCACCCTTTCCCTCCTATGCACACTGCACATATCTTATTTTGAAGTAAAAAAACAAAACGGGAACAAATACAACATTTGTATTTGCATGTGGCCCGCGGGCCGTAGTTTGAGGACCCCTGATCTAAACTCCCCCAGTAAGTTAATAGCAAAGCCTGGATTAAAATAGACATGACGCAGTTCTGGGCTTCTGTACCCGCAGATCCATTCCTCACCCTTTCCCTACCATACTCAGTGTCACCTTCAGGCTGTGTTAGTCCCTCTAGCCTCCTGAGTCAGCTGGGTACCCGCTGGGTTTGACCAGCTGGGGGCACTAGAAGGAGATTAGAGGGTAGGAAGAAGCCAGGGTATATCTCCTCCTCCCTCTCTAACTTCAGCAGGGTCCCCAGCAAGCAAATGCATTTTCTCTGTGATTCTAGCTCTTCAGACAAGCCCACCGTGGGTTCCACCTTCTGCCAGGCCCCCAGGGCCTGGTCATACTTCCTCCTCATCTTTTGTCTCCAGCCCGGATGGAAGTGGCTGTTGTTACTAATCCCTGAGCTATCTCGCTGTCTTAAATTGGGCTTCCCATCATTCCCATCTTCGGTGTAACCGAGACTCTCAATTAAATTCCCTGCCTGCAAATATTTTTGTTTTCCTGCTTAGACTTCGCATAAAATAATAGTTTTATGTTCATTCCACAAAATGCACATTTTCCAACCAGGCTGTCAATTCTGTGAGCAACTTCAAATCCTTCCAATAAATCTCTTTTCTGCTTGTTAGTCAGAGTTGGTTTCTGTTGTTTACAGCTGAGAACCCTGAGGGTTACAATGAAAAGGGTTGCGGCTGGATTTGTGGTCACATCGTGTTGAATCAGAATCTCTGGGAGATCCCCTGGCAAGTGTCCATTCTGAAAAGCACACAGGTGACTGCTGCCCGACTGGGTTAGGGGCCACAATTTCAGTTAATATGGTTGTCAATAGACATGGCAGAGCAGTCGATATGGTTTGAGAATTTGGAGTCAGTCAAAAACCCAGCATCTCTTGTTGGTCTTTACTACTTTTAGAGCCAATATACAGTTAGAAATAATATCTCACAGGAAGTAGTTTTAAAAAACATCATATTCTTTTCATTGAAATAATGATTCAATGAATGTTTACGTTCACAAATGGTTAAATTCATATAAATTATAAAAAAGAAAAGTAACTTTGTAGGTCTGTTGCTGCCGTTAGAATATGAGCTTCTCAAATGCAAGGGTTGTATTTAACTTCATTTGTGTCCCCAGCATTTAACAAAGTATCTAAAGTAAACAAGTGCGCAATACATGTTTATAGGCTAGCACAAAGGCAGAGCTACAATATGCTCCAAGTATTATACAATAAGCACAAGGTTCTTTATACTAATATAAGGAGCCGCACTTGCTATAAAATATATAAAGAACATAAACAATTACTCTTCAACTTTATTACAGATTTGACCTAACACTCTAGTAGGTGCCAGAATGACTTGGATGATTCAAGTAGGATTAATCTTGGAAGGTGAAATAGAAAAGATTAAGCAATTTCAAAATCTGAAACCTCAAGTTAGGAATCAGTTAATAAAAAGCTTATCTGAAGAAAAAGTACTAATATTTTATTCAATATTTAATAAAACAGAGCCAATATTTAGTCTTCTGCTAAAGCACTGAGTCATTTGGATGGAATAGTCTTAGTTCTTAAGAGCCGTTTGCCGTAGATTGAACAAAAATCTTTCAAAGTCCCTTACAATCTTTCCTGTGGTTCATGATTTTTTCACAAACCCAAGTTCCCTCCCTCATCAAGTATTTGGGATTAATGAGGATGTGATATCAAAACCAAACACTTTAGTAGAGAAAGCGAGTCTTATACCCCGAGGAGCAGTGCTTTTAGCTCTTTGTAAGAGCGTTTTCCGATATGCTCTTGATAGATTCTAGCCTGTTCAGCCTGTCTGCTTTTAGTAAAATGAAGTAAAAAAATTAAACTAGAGACGGGGCTTAAGCACCGGAACTTAACACACTCTACCCAGTTACTGTCTGATTTACTGAGAGCGCTTAGGCAGCTCTAAGTAGCAATGGCGATCCCAGGTGATTGCCTAGGTCCTGAAGACATTTAGTGTAATACAAGCCCAACCATTAGCACAACTGCAGAGTATCTGTTACCTCTCTATGGAACTTGGATTGCTGGAGTTCTAGAGAAGGGTCACTTTTGTTTTTCACAGAAAATTAGCTTAGGCTCTGCAATGTAACACTACCCGAGTCATTTCAAAACTGTTCTTTTGCTACCAAGAAATATTTGAAAAGAAAATGAAAGCCATTTCATTTCAGGGCAGGAAGAAAAATATTAGGAACTAGGGAGACAAAGACAGGGGAAAATATTACAGTAGATTACGTTGTTCCCTAACCAGGAAACTGGGGCCAGTTCTCAACATTTTAGATTCTTACTGGGGCCATAAGGAAGGAAGGAACTTTTGAGACTGTGAGACTCAACTTCGTCTCACATGAAGCCGAAGTTCGTGAGATACTGAAAGTCTGCTCCGCTTCCGTTCCACTAGGATGTGATAATCACTAATGTATGATTACAGATATTTTTATTTCCCTTGAAGAGTGGGTTGTTATTGCGTCTGACAGCCTCTTCGGGAGGCTCCTGTGAATAAAGAACTGTGCCTGGAGTGGTGAGAGACACCAAGAGTCTAACAAGGTGGCTCGGGTAAACAGGAAGAACCTGAACTTGAAGGCAGGCTTCCATTCAACCTCCACCACTACCTCGCTGGGTAACTCTGGGACAGTTGCCTGCCTTTTTGGAGCATCTGTTTTCTCATGTCTAAAATGCAAATAACAATATCTACTTTCTCAAGGTGTTTCTGAGGATGGGGGAATTAACATATGTAAAGTGCCAGTGTAGTACCCAGCATAGAGTATGTGCTCATGAAACATTGTGTGCTTTTTCTTTCCTTTCATCTCGAGTGTCTCTAGCTTTTGAGAGAAGCAGGTATGAAAAGTCAGTATAGTACAAGGTGAACTGAAGTAAGAAGTAAAAAAAAAAAAGTAAGTTATAGCCTCTGAGAGGAAGGAGACATTATTAGCAAGAGGGAGACTTGGGGAAGATTCTATGTAAGAAGCGATGTTGAGTCCGGGCTGTGATGAGTGGCTTTGGAAGGCGTGGGGAATATCTGTGTAGGGGGCACAGTCTGGCTGGAAGGGAGAGGAGGTGGCAGTGCCAGGGGAGGTTATGGGTGAAGAGACTAAAGTCCTCCCTGCCATCCCACCCAACCTGACTTGGAATGTGACAGGTGCAGGGGACATTTGGACAGATGTCTGTGTTTAATGAGAATGCAAAAACTGCTTGGGAACAGATTGTGTGGGACCTCAACTGCCTAGGACTTTGAACTTTATGGCATAGGTTGGGAGGCCCACTGAGGTGTTTGAACAAGCGGTTGATGTGCTATGACCTGTGTGTGTTCTTTATGAAATCTCTAGAGCCGTGTAAAGCATTGAGAGGAGAATTATAAAAATTTGAACTCATCTGAATACCAGGATCATCCCCAGACTCGTCTTCCATTGAGGGGCTGCCAGTGAGGGGGATAGAAATAACAACAGCAACAACAAAAATAATGACAAACACTTTTTTTTAGCACTCCCCATGTGCCAGGCATTATTCTAAGCACGTTTCTCATATCAACTCCTTTATTCCTCAATAGGGTCCTATGAAGTAGGTGCTGTCATTACCTTCATTTTATAGATGAGGAAACTGAAGGTTCAATGACTTGCCCAAGGTCATGGCAGAGCTGGGTTTTGAACTTACTCCATTGACTCCAGGCCAATAAGCACTGCACCATCGTGCCTGTGCAGCAATGTCTGGGGTTTATTGAGGATTGGTGCTGCAGGAATGGGAAAAGGGCTAATATCAAAGAGGAAGAGTAAAGAAAGGAGAACATCAGAGAAAATAAACAGTTGCCTATGGGAGGAAGCACCACAGGTCCCGCAGTAATAATCTCAGGTACCACCCAGTGCTGACTTGGCCGTAAGCTCTGCACCCTCATAGAGAAAGCTTAGGTGTTCTGAAATTAAGCTCATTATCTAAGGGAGGATTTCAGGGTCGGTTGTGATATAAGTAACTAATCAGAAATAGCTTAGCCTGCCAGACGTTGCACAATGCATTACTTTGAAAAGCGAGCAATTGGAAGAAGTGAAATGGAGCGTGAAAATAATGAAGTGGGCTGGGTTTCCGATTTGGGAGGAAGAACTCTGTAAATTATTTAAGGCACTTCATGATCAGATCCAGCTTCTCGCTTACGACTCCCTTCCAGGACAATTAGACGAAACGGCTTCCAAATCCTCCCTACCTCCCATAGTGTCTACGTGCCCAAATTCTATTTTGAAGACACCAAACTTGTCCCCGTCTGCCTTTTCCAATGCTTTCCACCCTTCCTTCCCCAGCTTGCCCTCGCCCAGGAGGCTGGCCGGTATGGCACAGGTCAGCGGGCTCCCGGCCGCTGGCCTCTGGTTGGTTCAGGCACTGGGAGCCGGGGCAGGCAATCAGACAGGAGGATGTGAGGACAGGACACTTCTCCCCCTGGTGTCTCCCCTCTGAAGGGGGGCTGGCTGTCTCTCTTGACTAAAGCTCTTTGCTCCTCATAAGGTAGCGTTCTCTTAGGACTCTTGTGGGTTTTCAAAACCAATCTTTCTCCTTGGCTCTTTGGGCCTAGAGGGGGTAACAGCTCTACTGTTAATAACCTTGGGTGATGGAGTGGTCTCTTGTAGTTTCCCTCTAGCCCTCCTCCTGGGCCCCTTAAGTAGATTCCTTGTTAAACTGCCCTCAGATGAACCTTCTGTGATTGAGTCATCACTTTCCGTTGGGGACTCTGGTATTTTTTTCCATAACGAAGCCCTTTTTTTCTCTGAACTTTCACAAAAATTGATCTTTATCCCTTCGAAGGTACTGTTCTTTTGCAGATTACGTGATTTGCATACATGTTGTAAATCTGTCCCTTACCGAATCACTCGATGAATGTTAAAGGAATTGCCGAATGGCAAGGACACAAACAAGAATATGATCTCATCATTTAATTTTCTCTTAAACTTGCTGATCTATTGCCGTTATTTTATTTATTTTATTTTTTATTTTTATTTTTTTTAAAATATATTTTATTGATTTTTTACAGAGAGGAAGGGAGAGAGATAGAGAGTCAGAAACATCGATGAGAGAGAAACATCGATCAGCTGCCTCCTGCACATCTCCCACTGGGGATGTGCCCTCAACCAAGGTACATGCCCTTGACCGGAATCGAACCTGGGACCTCTCAGTCCGCAGGCAGACACTCTATCCACTGAGCCAAACCGGTTTCGGCTATTGCCGTTATTTTAACATTAAAACTAAAGTTCTTTCACATTCGGGGGGGAAAGTCTACTTCACCAGCACTGAGTTACAGTGTCGGGACTGGACCACCTACAGATCTAGAGCTCTTATACCTTCTCCCCTCACACAGTCAGGAACGTGTGCTGATGGTGTGTCTTGTGTGTTGCAGGCCGTTCTCCGTGGAGCCCTCTGTTGGAACTCTTACCGTGGGAGAGTCCATGCAACTGGAAGTGGATTTTGAGCCACAGACTGTGGGCAATCACAGCCAACGGCTGGTTGTGTATTATGACACAGGTATGCGTTCTCCTTATTTAAAAGTTCCGCCCTTTAAGAAAGGTCAGATGGAAAACATGAGGATGCAAAGCAGGGAATGGTTATTTTGGCTACATGAGAGTAAGCAAAGATCCGCCAGGCAAAGAACAAAAGAATAAATGCCTCCAACAGAAATAATGTTGAGGCAGATATAAATCCCACCTGGCTGGTTTCTCCAATGTTTACAAGCCTGAGAAATACAGGGCTCAGGAAGGACCCTACACCCAGATGGCACGTTAGTAGATTGAGGTTATTTATATGTAAATGGAACTGGAAGATAACTGAATACCCCCATGTGTTTTCCATTTGATTTGTTGCTGCGTTTGTCTGACATTTTGAAAATATAAATCCCAGTTCAGAATGGTCTTTTGTGTGTTCACTAGTCTATGTCAGATGCAGTTACTTTAATCCTGAGAATGTGCAAATATCTTACTTCTTTCTTAAATACAGTATGAGACGGTGACTATTGCCACAGCAGTTTCTTGAAGGCCATACCCTGCATAATGATGGAAATTATTCATTTAATTGATGGTCATGTAGACTGCATGTACAATATGCAAGTATCCAAAGTTGGTTTTCAAATTAATATTTTACCATTCCCATTTATTACTTCCTATCCTCATTTCCTCCACATTTCTTTTTGAACCGTTCACGTGGAGTGACCCAGATTGTCTGCGTCAGAAGGGCGTTCGTTGTGGGAGAAAACAGAAGCGTACAGCCAGTAAAGAGCAACAGGAGACACTGAGGCCGCAGCTCAGAGTTGCTGGCTGTGTGGATGGGTAGCTGAGCAGGACAATTCAAGCCGTTGCATGACATGCGGTGAAGTGGTTCTGGCTCTACGTTGCCCAGCATGAAAGCTGCACATAACCAGGGGCACAGTCTGTATTTCTTATCGTTTAGTGTTGGCCATAGTTCACTGGCCGCTGGCAAGAGAAACCTGACCTGAACCAGCTTAAGCAAAGAAGTTTGGGCCCATGTCACCCAACAGAGGAAGGTTAAACGCACAGCTTATACCACATCAGGGACATGGATTTTTTCCAAAGTAGTCCAGCCATTTTACACTCCCACCAGCAAAGAGTGAGTTCCAGTTGCTTCACAGCCTTGCCAACACCTGGTGTCGTCGTGTTCATTTTAGATAGACTAGTGGCATAAAGTGATGTCTTCTAGGGTTTTAATTTTCATTTCTCTGATGATGAATGACATTGAGCCCATTTTCATGTGCTTACTAACCATTCATATGTTTTTATTATTAACTTTAAGAGCACTTTATAACTTTATAGTCTGAATACTAGTCATTTGCCAGATATATGTATTGTTAATGTTTTCTTTCAGACTGTAGCTTGCCTTTTCATTTCCTTAATGATATTTCTTAATGAGCAGACATTTTTCATTTTGATGAAATCCACATTATCAGTGTTTTTCTTTTAGGATTAATGCTTTTTGCCTTCTTGCTAAGAAATCTTTGCCTTCTCCAAGATCATGAACGTATTCTCCTATGTTTACTTTTAGGAGGGTATTAGTTTTAGCTTCTAGGTTTAAGTAGTGATTGATCTTTGATTTCATTTTTGTGTATGTGTGAGGTGGGGACCATGTTTATCCCCTCTCCCGCCCTCCCCCCATATGGATTACTAGCTCTTCTCCACTCTATTATCTTGTTCTGAAATTTTAATTAGTTACGCTTTGTTCTATTACTTAATCTATTATTACTCTGTTATTTATTCCTTTTAACCTCTTTTATGTTTTCTATTTCTTTGTCTCTGTAGATGTCTCTGGATACTTCTTACCTATTCAACAATTTACTCTTCAGGGAAGTCTACTGAGTTTCAATTTTTCAATTATAATTATTTTCATTTCTGAAATTTTATTTGATTCTTCTTTAAATCAAAGTGCTCTCTACTCTTATTTTTCAAGTTTTCCTTTTATTTTTAAAATGCATTGAACTTATTTATACATACTTATATTTTATATCTGATAATTCAAATATATTGTGTGTATTTATTTATTTATTTCATTTGCTGCTTATTGTTTCTGATGATTTTCAACCATGTTATTTGTAGGGAGGGGAATTATCTTTCCCCTATACCCTTCCAGGTTTTTAGCTGGGCCCCTGTAACCAAAAAAAACCAAAACAGATTATCAGGAGAAAAGCATACAAATTAATGTAATTCTTAAGTGACACGGGAGCCTTCAGAAGGAAATGAAGACTGGAAGAAGTGGATAAACCGAGTGTTTTACGCTAGGAGTGGTCAGTTGTGGGAAAATGTGATAGGACCAAAAAGGGTATGAGCTGCGTGTAGTAAACTTGGGGAAATAGTAAGGCCTGTTTGCTCAGCTTCCTCTCAGTGTCCCTCTGTCTTTGCAGATAAGGATGCTCCTGTCATCCAAGTCTAGGAGGGCACCTCTCCAATGAAAGTCTTATGACCTGCTTCAGGGGAAAGTAAAAAAATAAAAATCCTTCCTGCACCTGCCAAGTTGCCATAGTTTGGGGTAGTGTGTTCTCAATTGGCCTATCTTATGCCGCTGTGTTTTGTAAATTTTGAATTTAGCATTTCCACTTTGGCTAGACTTTATGGCCTGTCCTAGGAATACAAAACAATAGTTAAAGCAGGAGTTCAAGGGTTAACAACAGGCTTTAGGGCAAAAGACAGCTTTGGCACATCACTTCCTGCGATTCTTCACTTCACTTTGATGTTCTTATTTTTAAAGTCATTTAAAAAATATTGAGTATTTTAGTTATTTCAATCTCCAGTTTAATTTAATACCTAAAACTGAGTCTAATTTGTCTTTTTCACATTGTTCAGTGTTATTTATAGAGTAGTTCATTCTTTCCCACTACTTTATAATCCTCTCTATATATCATCATATTATATAAACATGTTTTATCCCTCTATGTGGTTAGGCTTTCTTTAATTTCAGCAGTAGTTTTCTGAGTAGAAGTTTTGAACCTTATGGTTAGATTTAGTCATATATTCATTGGTTTTTCATATTGATGTAAGTGATTTTAATTACATTTTAATTATAGTACATATAATTTAGATGCACAGATTTTAATTGTACAGTTCGATGAGTTTTGACAAGTGTAAATACCTGTGTAACTACCACCCCGGGCATTCAATATATATAACATCTATTATCTCAGAAAGTTCCTTCATGCCTTTTCTAGTTAATTCCTTCATCCCCATCTTAGATTTCTATTACCCTACATTAGTTTTGCTTGTTCTTGGAATTCAAATCAGTGTATTGATACAATATATACTCTTTTTTTATGTCTTTCACTCAACATAATGTTTTTGCGATTCTTTTCATGTTGTGTATATCAGTAATTCCCTTTTTACTCCTGAGCAGTATTCCACTGTATGCTCATACATAGCTTATTCATTCTCCTGTTAATGTAACTTTGGAGTGTTTGAAGTTTGGGGCTATTATGAATAAAGCTTTAATAACCACTTTTCTACAAGATGTGTGTATGTGTGCATGTATACTTCTTTTTTCAGGTAAATATTTAGGAGTAGAATTGCTGGATTGTAAGGTAGTTTATATGCTTAAATTTATTTTAAAAAACTTCAAGTTTTCTGAAACGGTTGAAGCATTTTATATTTCCATCAGCAGTGTATGAGGATTCCAGTTATTCCACATCCTCATCAACTCTGGGTCATTGGCAGTATTTTAATTTTAGTCATCCTAGTGGATCTATTTTGTTTTAAATTGCCACTTCCTCAATGACTAATAATGTTGAGTATCTTCTTGTGCATTTTTGACTATTTTTGACTATTTTTATGACTTCTATTTGAAAGTGTTTGTTTAAGATTTTTACCTATTCTTTTATGGATGGTTTGTCCTTTTGTCATTGCATGTATTCATTTTTTTCTTTTATGGCTAGTGTGGTATTTTTTTCTAATTCTATTTTCTAAACTTTTGTGGGTATATCAAAATAGAGTTAAATTTTGTGTGTTGATCTTTTCTCTATAGACCTTGATAAATTAACTTATTAGCTCATGATTTATCTGTAGATGACCTTGAATTTTGCATATATATAATCAAGTCATCTGAAGATGATCATTTAATTCTTCTTCAATGGTTACACCTTATATTTCTTATTGTGTCTTGCACAGGCTAGGCTTTTAGTACCATGTTCAATGGAAATGATGATAATTAATGTCCTCTGGTTCTTAATCTCAGAGGGGAAGTGTCAGAGTTTCATCATTTGATATGATATCTTTAGTGTACACTCTCTATTAGTTAAAGAAAATTTTCTATTTCTAGGTTTCTTTTCATCTTGAATGGGTGTTGAATTCCATCAATTACTTCTGTATACTTTGAGATTATTACATATTATTTCACCTTTATTCTTCAAATGCAGTGATTGGTTTTCAAATGCTAAATCCGTGCAATATTCTGGGATAAACCTAAATTTTAAATGTTATTGTCTTAGTTAACCACTGGGTTAGATCTGCTGATAATTTGTTTGAGAGCTTAGCATCCAAATTCATAAGAAAGATTAGCCCGTCCTTTTCTATTAATATAATGCCCTTGTCTTTGGTCTTAAAAAGCCAACTGGTCTCATAAAATGAGTTGGGAATTATTCTCCTTTTTTATTCCTAAAAAGAATCTTTAAGATTCTTGTTCTTTCTTCCTTAAATGATTGAAAATTTCATTATTCAAGCTATTTGACTTAAAGCTTTTAAGAAAGTATTCAATTTCTCAGTAGACATAGATCTAAGATTTTCTATTTTGTTCTTGTATAATTTTTGGTAAACTTTTTTTCAAGCCTTTTTTCTAAGAAAATAAGCGGCCTTCCCAAGGTCACATAACTAGTCAGAAGAACAGTTAGAACCCAGACTCTCACTGCCGTGCAGTGAGCTTCCCCCCATAGTGATCATCTCCCCAGCCTCTCATATTACTACATTTGCATTTTTACTCCCATAATCCATTGACTTTGAAATGCAGCTGCATTCTCCCAGTGGCCCTCGGTCTAGATTTTA